TTAAAGTTGTATCTTATTCTTATTATTTACTAGACCAGAGAGATTGCTTTGAAAGTTATTTCAAAAGCTATTTAAATAAAAATCATGATATGACATCTTTTTTCCTTGTTCAAAAGCAACTTAAAACCTAATTAGGAAAACAAAATTAACACCAAATAACTAGAAAAAAACAAACTTTGAGGTGGTATGTCATGTAATTATTGACTAAAATTATGAATTGTAACTTTGAAATAAACAGGAAAATAAAGGCCACATGAAACAGCACTGCTTGTGTGGGACAACCCACTGATGTAAAATAGAGAAAATGACTCAAAGTTAATCTTTACGCATAAAACTGTTTTTAAATGTCCTGTGGTTGGGAGGTCATGAGGTTTCTGAGAAGTCACAAAAAGATGTTGATATCAGTTGATTACCTGAAAGAATAATGATTTATCATCTGTCTCTAGAAAAGATCAAACAAAAGAAATCTGATTTGTCTATATAAAAGTGACACAATGCCACAGATCCCCAATACCTTGACATTAGAAGTTCTCACTAGCCCAAAACAGAACCTGAAAGTTCAGAACCAGAAAAAACAGCACGATATTCCCTCAACGTATTTCTCAGACTGAAGATGTCACCCTGTATGTTACACCTCCAAGCTGTCTGTGGAAAGTATTAGCTTGAGGGTTCTGTTTCTGTTGGGCCACAAAGGACCAGGTTTAAGCCCTCTCCTCAATGACAAACCTTCAAACAGCTGAAACCAGCAATCAGCATTCCTCTATTTTCTTTAGCTGTAGCTTAAGCCATATGACATGCTATCAAGACCTTCTCCCTGCTGATCACACTCACCTGTGTGTGCCCCACCTTGTCAATCAGTCTTTTAAAGAGAGATGCCCAGAATGAGTCAAATGTTCAGCTGCTACCAACAGCTCAGCATGTTTACAGCAGGAAAGTCGCAGAAACATCTCCTGACACTCATCTTCCACAGTAAAAGCCCTCATCGCCAGGCCACACAGCCTCCTTACTGGACAACTTAGCACTCTAGTCCTTACCCTGCTCCACGTTTTCCCACAGAAGCATATAACAATGAGATAAAGGCGACTCCACAGTTCAGTTTCCAGTGACCACTCATTTTCCACATCACCATCAGCAAAATTTAATCCTTGGAAAGATGTTTTGTCTGAAGTGCCATAACAATATGCTAATTTAAAGAAAATGTTTAAATGTAGTATCTCTTCTAGATTGAGTAGCACATTTACAAAAGGGGGGCCTTGGATGCAGACATACATACAAGAACACAACTTGAAGACAATGAGATGAGGAAGCCATAGTCAGATCCCTCCTATAAACTCTCAGAAGGAACCCATCCTGTCAGCACCTTTATTTCCAACACCCAGACTTGAGATCTGGAAGACAGTTTCTTCTGTGTAAGTGATATAGGCTATGCAGCCCTGGAAAGCTAGTAGATCACTGTAATTACTTCCCACCACACTATCCTATCCCCAGTGAATGGAGATATGAAGATTTAGCGGCTTTAAGTAAGAAGCAGTCACCAACTGGGTATGGTGGTAAACACCCTTAATCCCAGCAATCTGGATGCAGAGGCAGAAGGATTTCTGTGGGTTTGGAGCTATACTGGTTTGCATATCTAATTCCAGGAAGCCAGAGCTATATAACAGAGAGACCCTGTCTCAAAAAGGGGGTGGAAATGGGAGAAAGAAGAGAGAGAGAGAGAGGGAGAGAAGACCACCCCCAACAAACAGTTTAAAATGGAGTCATTTCCATAGGTCAGAATTTCACAGAACAGAAATTGAGCTCTGCTCGGCTACATGGTTGCTCTAGGCTCAAACATCTTCACCCGGACTCACTTCCTGAATTAAGAGTCATCCATCTGGTTTGCAATTTTCTCTCAGCTGTGATGTCTGAGAGTCTAACATCTGTCTTTACATATGGTCTCAGATCCTCTAACAGGACAGCCCAAGATTTTCAAGATGTAAGAGTTCCAATACAAGGGATCTTCTCAAGCATGCCCTTTCATCTTTACATATGACTGTTTTGCAGGCATGTGTACATGTACACTATTTGCATGCATGATGCCTGAGGAAGACAGAAGAAGGCATCAGATCCCTCAGAACTTAAGCTAAAAGCAGTTGTGAGCTGCCACATGGGTATTCATAACGGAACCTAGATGATCTGGAAGAGTTTCAAGTGTCCTTACACTCTGAGCCATCTCACAAGTGCATTTTTATGTGCCCCTTGCTGTTGTCCCACTAATCAAATCAAGTCACAAAACTAAGCAGATGAACCATATCCCAGTAAATGAAAATAATCTGCCTCTTCCTTGAAGAAACACAAATTCACCTCTTGATGCTGTGGATACAAGGGAGAAACCTGAAACCATTTTTACAGTGTCCATCTTCAGTTACTCGTTGTTGAATGCTTATAACTAGTCCCCCATAACATGAGGCACCACAAAGTACAGTAGTACAAATCAACACAGATACATCAGATGTTGTCTCTGCTTCTATAGTATCTAATACTTAATGCAGTATTTAACATGGGAAAACTGAGAAATGTTTAGGAATAAGTAGTGAAATAAAAGTATCCTATGTATGTGAATATAGTAAATAGAAGGAAAGTGGGACAACTGCAAAAAAATCTACTGAAGCAGTTGATCTGAAGGAGTACTATGTCCCTGTTCCAACGTATACTGTGAAGTATCTGCAAAGAATTTTGATCACTGAGAAACAAGGGAATTGCAACTGGTACTCAGCAGAATCCAGAGTTGTAATTACGCACCCTCCAGTTCCCAGGAAAGCCCTTCACAATGAATTCTCAGCACAAATTATCCATAGATATATATATTGAGCATCCTTGTTTTGACACATGGGCTTACCAAAGTTGACAAAGATGGGCGTAACAACATTTTTTGGTTTTTCTTTAATAGGTTTTTCCCTGAGACTATTAGAAGAAAGAATAGAATTTCTTCAGAATGTAAAGACAGAACCATCTTTTTTGCCTGCTGCTTTCTCTTCAGCACCAAGAGGGTGCAAAATGAAAAGGACTCTTCCTCTGAAATGCAGAAGGCTAGGGTCCAAGAGGGCCTATCTTTCTTTGATGCCACTAAGGCTGACACTGTCTTACAGGGACAGCTCTTGTGTAGACCTATGTTTTGCTCATCAGATGCTCCTTGATGTATGCATTTCTTGATAGACATAAAACTTCTTCAGGGGAGACCCTTTCCTGTTTGTCTGTGGAGCCTCTAGATCTGGAGACAGTGTGGAATGAAGGGCTAAACTTTCAAAGGTGCTTTACAAAGCTCAAAAGATTCTCATAAGGGAGATACCCCTAAAAGATACATAAAATGGCATGAAAGGTCATCTGAGTCTGCATTCACTCTTCCTGAAGACAATAGGAAGAGAAAAACTACTGTTATTTTCACCTAAAATGAAATGAATGAAGTCTCTATGAGTTACAAAGCTGAGTTTAGCACTCTCTCCAACTTCCCAGGACTATTTATAGCCACAATTAGTAGTTTTAGTTCACTGAAGATCTTTATCTACCTCTTGCCTAGTGCCTTCCATACTATTTTTCGAAAGGTCTTCTCTTTTTCAAAATTAATCTGTCAAAAATTGTGTTGATTTTCTTGTATTTTTTTTTTACTATTTGTTTGAATGAATACTCTTGTAACATCTTACTCCCACGTAGTTTAATAAACTTCTAAAAGCTGTCATTTAAAAATGCATCTTCAATGTGCAAACATCTGGTTTATCCACTTAACATTTTGAAATAAACTATAATTATCTAGACTCTGTTTAGCATGATATTGGGTGACAACTTCACACCCTAGCCTTCATTCCCAAACCTGCTTGCTGTTTGTTACTGAACAGAACCCATTCAGTGGGAACTTGTAAGTTTATTTGAAAATGGCCCACTTTCCTTTCCAAAATTAATACTTGATACTGCTTAACCACATGTTAAGTAAAATTGAAAAATCTAAAAATGGGCCTAGATGTTAAGCATGAAATAACGTTTTACAGTTCAAAGTCTGAGACTATGGTACCTTGAAAGTAAAATTGCTAATTAGAGATAGTTGGTAGGTGGATAGTTGATGGAGAGAGGGGTATAGATAGATACAAATATATAATGTCAAAAATCAAAGAAGGATAAATTTAATACAGTATCAGTGAAGACT